CCACTTGGCAAGGCGGCAAAAGATGCTCACACCTCGAGACTAGAGCAAGGCGATGGCTGATGCACGCAGGCTCCCCAGGCGGCACCAACCCAAAGTCACTCTTTCCAGCCTCTCGAAAGTGTATCCGGATCTTAATCATGATTGGTCGGAGTGTAAATTATCCGTACAGGTTGGTTGCGTGTCTATAGCACATTATCGGTGTATGACCTTTTCACGGTCGGACCTTTCATGCTATGTAATAATAATACGAATCAATAAATATTTACGCAATTATCTGGAAGAGCGTTGTCAAAGCTATGACGAATCATTTCAGAACACCGAATTTCAGACAACGATGCCGCCACTCATCTTGGCCAGGCGCTTCTGCTGCGAGGTAGGTGAGAAGCTATCGTCATCCCTAACAACTTTCTCCTCATGCAACCATAGGATCGTTTTTAAGGGTGCCATCACGCCGACATCCAAGGGCTAACAGACTGAAGTTGCGTTTGGTGGCAGGGTCCTGGCCTGGCACAGATTAGCTCCAAGGTCTTCGTACATTAACTTGTAGGACTAATCGCTTTCGAAGTTGTCTCCTAGCACAACCGAATGGCCCTCAACACCACGACCAGCGACGACACGCAGATACAGTGCCCACACGCTAGCCAATCATGGACTAAGAAGCCATTTTGGTTATAGTTTTGTGTGTGACATCAACTCATCCCACTGCCAATTTAATGGGTCGTTCCAGAAAGTGTACTTTGTGTCATGCATATTTTCGTTTTTTTACCGATTTGTGCAAAACAAGCCACTTGCGTCCTGAAACTGAAATGAGCAAATACGTAATCACTGATTAAATCACCCTTCCCCACATCACATGGTGTCAACCACACACAACTCATTTCGTCATATGGCCTGGAGATCATGAGCACGAGGCTCTTGCTTTTGTGGATGCTTTATGGCTATACTATCGAGAAGAACCACCGACAAGAGAAGAAAATTGATGAACAAAATTGGCCGCTCGAGACGCGCAAGAAAACCCCCCAGGGCAAGCCTTGCTTGCCCACAACTAAATGCGTGGATGGCGCTCTTTGGTTCTGGTTGCGACCAAGCTCTTATCACTTTCGTTGGCCTCGACCATCATGCCTTTCGGCAACTTCTCGCCTTGTTTGAACTGGTTTATTGGTCCACTTCACCATATTCAAAGATGGATTCATGCGGAAGCTTTCAAGAAACTCTTTTGGAAGACCCCGCAGCATGGACGCGACCGCTTGCATGGCTTTGACTTTGGCTTGGACGAGATCAAGAGGGTCCATGGTTGTGTTGTGTATGCTTTTTGGTATCACTGCGCCTGTATGCTCCCTCTTCTTGAAGTTTGGACGGCGAATTTTGCTTCATGTGCTCGAGTCAAACAATGAAGCTAAAATATGTCCGCCAACTGCAGATGAAATTGAAAAGTTTTGCTGTGCAATTTGTTCAAAGCATTCATTGCTTCGCAATGTGTGGGCTGTTTCCGTTGGATTGAAGCTTCATTTGGAGCAAGCCGGCAACACAGTCTTTCAAAACATGTTCTACAATGGTTGGACGCACGACCATTACGTCAGCAATATTTTTGTCTTCTGCCCCAATGGAACTATTACCGTTGCTACCCTATATGCTCCTGGCTCAATGCACGATTCACAAATTGCTGAATGGGGTGGTGTATATGCAAAGCTTTAGGAAGTACACGAAAAGTATGGTGCTTGCGTTGTCGTTGACTCTGTATTTTGCGGTCAAAGATATGATTTTCTTGTCAAGTCAAGTCAAGAATTGCCAACTACGTACGATCCAACTGACATCATCAGAGGAAATCAAGCAACATCATTGCGCCAGTCTGCAGAATGGGGAATGCGCGCATTCAAGGGATCATTTCCACGCCTCAAGGACCACCTGTTGTACGAAGAAGTTGGTGAGCGTTGCGTCATATTGCACATTGCTGCGCTGTTGTTCAACTACCGCACTCGAATTGTTGGTTTGAACGAAATACAAACGACATACATGCCACGATGAAGTATAGAAGCTAACTACATTTTGAAGCGTAGTTAAAATGACATCAAATCAACATTGTTAGCTTAATAGTTTTAGTGATTATTTTCGTCTTGCATGTTGTTTGATTTTGGTGATTGCTTGACGCAATCATAAGCGCCATGAGTCTCATGAAGTCACGCCTATCTTCGTCACGGCGCAAGCGGTCTTTACGACGTTCTTCTTCGCGGTTCTTTCGCTCCTCTTCACGCACGCTCGTCCTCTCGACGCTTATCGTCCATCAAAAGCTGCAATCCCATTACCTGCACCATCGACAAAGTGTGATCCGTCGAGGACGGTTTCAAACGTTTCGAGACCAGTGGTCGAGCATATGACGAAGTACTGCCAGAAACACTGCGATCATCACAATTGCTTGTTTGGCCTTCCACTTGGCTTCTTTCGGCTTGGTCGATGTCATCGCCATCGTTTTCGTTTTCTTCGTCGCTTGAGGGCATAGTGAACGTCTTCGTACCATCACCAATGTCTGCTCGTTCCGTCATTTTGCATCGTATACGTTTCGCCTTGAGCACTTCCGGAGGAATCGTTGGGTTTGCAGTTGGAATACGACTCCGATAAAAGCTTGCAAACTTTCTCTTGATCGAGTCCAATGTGCGGGATTGGCCTGGGTACCGCGAGTCGTGTTCGCGGAGAACTTCTTCCCATTCAATCGTGCAAAGTGGCAACTTGTCGTCAAGTAGTCCGAGCAACGAATCAAGTTCGGAGGCGTAAAACCACTACCGCGTCCACCTGACATCGCCGCGCTGATTTTCCTCTTCGACATGGTGCAACAAATTGTATTAAGATTTATTAATGTACTTGCACATTATCTTCCAGTCGTGGGCGAGCCTCCGACAAATATTTGATTTGTGTACACACATTTTAAAAAAGTTTAAAAAATATACTTCCTCTGTTTGGTATTACTGCCACCATATGTAAACACCAAATATTTTATGTTACTGCCACCATTTTCATGTAATTGGACAAGTAAGATACGAATGCATTTCATTGGTTAAAATTGTCACTGGGATGTCAACTGTTGGAGGGTGCTGTTCGCCTCAAAGAGAAGCGACACTGGAACGGCCAAATTCACAGCAAGAGTTCCAGCACGTCTCATCGCGTCCTTCTTCAAATGGGGCAGCTTAAAGTGATTGTCTCCTCCATGATCAAGAACTAGGCGCATGACTGCCTGCAATATAAGGAAGACATCCTCCAACTTCTCTCCACTGAGCATGTCAAACGCCATCAATGTTGAAGCAATGACATCATCGACAGTGCGACTCACCCTTTTGTACTGTAGGCTTTGGATTGAAGCGAAGAATCCTAGGCCAAGCACGTTCAAGTCGGGACTGTTCGGCGGCTGGCGACGAACCACAAACGTCCACCCATCCGTCAAAACCCCAGCGAGTGCATCGTCGTCAACGGAACGGTGAGGTGTCGCGTTGTCGTGTTGGAGCACGACACGCTTTGAGGCACTAGGAAAGCTCGCCTTGATCTCAGGTACGACTTTGTTGAGGGCGTAATCACGGTACGTCGTAGCGTCAACATAGACAAGAGTGGTTACCATGGAACTAGCGGGTCGATTGTGTGAACTCCGGCGAGCAGGGGATTGAGAGACAAAGGGCCACAGACCAATCTTCCCGTCGAAGCCGACGTCCTTTTGCGGCCGAGCAACAGCACACAGAAACATGACATTGGGGATAAACCGCTTGGACTTGCACGCTCGAGGCTGTACCTCTTCGCCTTCCACGAGGTACTCCTTGTGACAATCTTTGTCCGCATTAAACCACTTTTCGTCCAGATGAACTACTTCCCACATGCCCGAAAATTCGGATTCTTGTCGGATTCTTGTAGTATGCCGCCAGGGCCGGCACACTACAAGAATCCGGCTTCGCCGGAACTTGACGGTTCTTCTTGGGCTACACCGCGGAAAGCGTTGATGGCGTCGTGGGTCAGGACGACAAGAGCACCGCAGTAGGCTAGGCGTTCGTGCTTGTTGGCGTTGGTGAGAAGCGGTTTCAGTCGAGATAAGCGACGTTGAAAATCACCATTCTTGAGAGCGCGGCTGAGTGTGATTGTTGACATGCCAGTTGCTTGTGAGTGCTCTCTGATAGTGTAGCGCTGGTTTCGTGGAACGGCTCGAATCAGTGCGACGATTTCCTCCTTGGTGTAGTGCTTCTTGGGGCCAACGCGACCAACTTTGAGATTCTTTGTTATCCCATCCTTATAGCGGCTCCAAAATTGGCAGACTGTGCTACGGTAGAGTTGAAAGCGCTCGACCGCCGCCTTGCTGGTGCCGTGCGGTAGTTTGCCCTTGGATAGGCAGTCTTGTAGCGCAGTGGCAGCTTCACGCTTCTCGACGTCTCTCAGTTCACGGTTCTTGCGGTGGGATGTGCTCATGGCGGGAAATTTGAATGTGTTCTCATACCCCGAAGTTTTACTTCTTTTTCTTCTATATTTATTTTATTTCATCTGGTGGTGCTAAGGCGACGGCGATTTTGGCCATCAATTTGTCCTTACTGTGATTGGTTGCCGATTGACGCTCTCTCTCGTTTTTTATGCTCTCTCTCTTGTGATATTCAGCATCCAATTTGGATAATATATGAATTTTTGGGGTAACTGTCAATCAATATGGTGGCAGTATATTGGGCCGTTCCTGAAAGTGTATTTTGTACAAGAAGTGCGAACTTCCTCTGTTTTGTATTTTTAGGTCACCAAACCAGTTCATCACAAGTTTCGGAAGACTGTGAATATTTTCGGAGAAATGATGCGTCTATCTTATATACTTCCGCTACTGACAACTTACTCTGTCATTTCTGCATTGTCCTTGTAATTGGGGTATGACTGTATCATTTCGAAATGTGTC